TTTCAGGCCCCTGAGCTCCCGCCCTTGGTCTCCCAGGACCCCAATCTGCGCTCACTTCGAGTCCCCTAGACCTCACTCTGAAACCCAGAGCTCTCTGTCTCTGCCTTTAATTTCCCACTAAATGGCATACAGCTTTCCCAGCAATCCAAATCTTTGTACCGCTTCCCTTCCTTTGGACCCTGACACCCCCTTGCCATGCCTGCGCCTAGACTTCCCGCCCCAGGTCCTGGTGCCTCCAGCCCCCGGCTGGTCCCTGGTACCTGGCAGGTACATGTTGATCAGCAGGGGCTGGGAGGCGCCGCTCTGTCTCATCGCCGCCAGGGACTGGGCGGTGGGAGTTGGGGGGGACGGGGAAAGGGGGGCGCGTCAGGCTTTGAGCTCCGGGGCACCGATCCCCGCCCGAGACGACGGTGGGTGACAGCGAGGAGAAGACCGCGCCGGGTCCGGCTGGGCCTGGCGGGAGGGGGCAGCCCGGGCGTGGCGGGGGATTGGTTGGGGGGGGTCCTGGAGCAACGCTCCCAGCTGCGGGGCCGCCTGGAACCCTCCGGCCCCCGCGTGGGCAGGGGCCGCAATTTCCGTTTTAATTAAAGCGCTGCCGCCTCGGCCCCCAAGACCCCGCCCCCGCCCCTCTTATCATCCCATCGCAATAAAGTCTCCAACGCGCCGCGCCACAGCCAAGCGCACCCGGCAGCCCCCCGCGCCCCGCAGCTGGGGAGGCGCGCGGGGGATGGGCTCCGGGCAGAACGCTCTGATGGGGGCCGAAGTGTTTCTTTTTCGCCTCCTTGACTCTCTATAAACAGTGATGAGGCTGGTGTACCCGGCCCCACCTCAGACCCCAGCGACCACAGCCCTCTCCCCAGAGCCCTCCTTTCCCTTTGCTCCCCTCCCCTAGCTCTCCTCCCCCTTTCTCCCCCTACTCCCACTCGGGTTGCCGTCTCTAGGCTGCGTTATCTGCATCTTCACTTTTAAATTTCCGCTTCCCTCCCTCTCTCCTGTTGCTGCGCTTTGGGCCCTGCAGCCGTTGCTCCCTTTATCTCTGCCCCCCCCCCATCGCGCCTTTTCCCTCCTCCCATTCTCCCACTCTGCTCTTCCCTAGAGACCCGAACTCCTTCCCTGTCTCCCTCTTGCTTTTGCCTGTTTCCTGCCTTTCTACAGCCCCCAAGCCCCAGGTCGGGTGCTGGGGCATCTCCCCTGGCAACTTCTCTAGGGAGGCACCTCGTTTCTCCTCCCCACCCCTTTCTAGGTCTGTACTTACCACCTCGTCTCAGCCTTTTTTCTATCCTACTCCCATCTCCCTCCTCACCAGCTTCCTATCTCCTGTGCCCCTCCCTTCCCTCCTTTCCTCATTCATTCAATTTCCACAGGTTAGTAGTGGTGGGCCTCCTGTCCTAGTCTGACAAAACTGAGAATCTGTTCTGGCTTTTCATGATGGGTTTCTGATCCCCTTTCCATTTCCCCCTACAACTATCCTCCCCTTTCCTTCCCCATCCCCTATCATCCCAGCCTGCCACTCACCCTCACAATTACTATCCTGGCTATGCCTGAACTAGATAGAGGGGTTAGAATAGGGTTGTGTATATACAAGGCTGAACTCCTCTGAGAAAGGTGCACTTTTTCTAACTAATGCAAAGATATTGATGAGGTCCCCAGGTGGCCTAGGGTCTCTGGGTACATGTGGAACTAACTTCCTGCCTCTGCAGAGACAAGCTGAGGACCAACTTGAGCTGAAGATGAAGCCCTAGACAAGAGCCCATCATTTATAGCCATTAAGTACCTGGTGGCCATTGTCAGAACTGGTATTCTCAAAGTCATGCTTTCTCATTGCTTGAGCCCAAGGTCCTGGGGTACCTGATGGCGGATGGCTGGAATATCCTACTCCTGAAGTTCTGCAGCGCCCTGTCCACTCTCCTTTATTGTAACTGCTGGAATGTTTATCTTTGCTAGGGAGGAATGTGGGGAGCAAAGGTGGGGATAAGGAGGATGGGGGATCCCCCAGAGGACCCTAGAGGAACTGAGGTGGGGACTTCAAGATGTAGACATGGAACCAGGTGGGAGCAAAGACAAGAGATTGGGACATTCCCTGGAGACCAAATTCAGGGCTTTGTTGGAGGGGAGGGCCATAAGTGTGGGCCAAATCCCAATACTTCTCCTCATTGCCTCTTACTGCTTCCCCCAATGCTCTCAACAGAAAACAAAGAGCAAGAGCTAAGAGCTGGGAGAGCTGGGAAGCATTAAAGTTCATTCTCTTAATGCTCTCAGTGGAAGGCTGAGGCAGAAATGAGAGGTACTCAGAGAGGAGCTGTCCCCAGACATCCCAGCTCTGAGCTGGGCAAGGATAGACAGCACAGGCTTTG